CAAATGACTTTGTGTAGTGATTAGAGTACAAGTAGACATCTTTCTGTGAGTTGTTGTTAATAACAACATGCTGTCAAGTCAGTTCCAACATTTAGTGACCCTGTACAAAGCTTCCAAGGACAAGTTGTTTGGTTTGAACCTCTGACCTTGTGGTTAGCAATTCAGCCCTTACCCTACAGCACTTTTTGGGTGGTGCTGGTTTTGTGCTGTTCTTATTGTTAGGTGCCTCCTACAACACCTCGTGGGTGGTATTGGTTTTGTGCTGTTATTGTTAGGTGTCATCAAGTCATTGCTGACCTATAGCAACCGTATGCACAATAGAATGAAACACCGCCCAGCCCTGCACCAACCTCATAATTGTTGCTACACCTGAGTCCATTGCTGCTGCCACTGTGTCAATCCATCTTACTGGGGGTCTTGCTCCTTTTTTCTGACCCACCACTGTACCAAACATGATATCCTTCTCCAGGGACTGGTCCCACCTGATAATATGTCCAAAGTATGAGAGACGAAGTCTGATCATCTTGGCTTCCTAGGAGCACTCTGGCTGCACTTCTTCTCACACGGATCCATTTGTTCTTTTGGCAGTCAATGGTACCTTCAATATTCTTCTCTAACACCCTAACTCAAATGCATTGATTCTTCTACGGTCATCCTTATTCACTGTCCAACTTTCACATGCATATGAGGTTATTTAAAATACCATGGCTTGGGTCATAGTCCTCAAACTGATGTTTTTGCTGTTCAGCACTTTAAAGAGGTCTTGTGCAGCAGATTTTCCTAATGCAGTCCATCGTTTGATTTCTTGACTGCTGCTTCCATGAGTGTTGATGGTTGATCCCAGCAAAATGAAGTCTTGGACAACTTCAATGTTTTCTCCATATATATGGATGCTGCTTATTGGCCCAGTGGGGAGAACTTTTTGTTTTCTTTACATTGAGATGTAACCCATACCGAAGTGGAATGCTATGGAGTCTGTTTGAGAAGGTGTATCGAATCACAACAAGGATATTGTCAGTTTTGCCATCCACAAGACTTAAAATGAATCATTCCAGAGGTGGACAGGGGAACCTCACCACCATATTATCACCACCTGATAATATGTCCAGAGTCCCTGAGATAAAGTTACACCATGCTTGCTTTTAAGTGACATTCTGCACATACGTACCTAATTCAGGACAAATTGTTCATTCTTCTGACAGTGCTTGGTATATTCAATATTCTTTGCCAACACTGTAATTCTAAAGCATTAATTCTTCTTTGGATTTCCTTATCCATTCCTTATTCATTTCACATGCATATCAGGCAGTTGAAAATGCCAAGTGAGGCACACCTTAATCCTCAAAGTAGCATACTTAAAAGAAGTCTTTTGCAACAGATTGTTCCAATGTATTTTTCCAGTACGTGCTTTTTACAGGCATTAATTGTGGATCCAAGTAGGAAATGAGATCCTTGCAACTTTAATACTTTCTTAGTTTATCATGATATTGCTTATTGGTCCAGTTGTAAGGGTTTTGTTTTCTTTATGTGGAGGTGTAATCCATAGGGAAGGCTGTAGTCTTTGATTTTCATAATTAAGCATTTCAAGTCCTTTTCAGTTTCAATAAGCAAATGTTTTCTTACTTGCTTATCACAGGTTTATTAACAAGCCTTCCTCCAATCCTGTTCTTTATAATAGTCCAGCTTCTCAGATTATTTGTTCAGTAACAGCAACCACGCAACTGCCACTCATCTGTCTGTCATGCTGTGGTGGTTTGAATTGCTGTGATTCTGAGGGCTATGCCACCGGTATTTTAAATAACCAGCAGGGTCACCCATGGTGGACAGGTTTCAGAT